AAAAAAAAAAAAAAAAAAAAAAAAACGAAAAATTTTGAATGTATTTTCTGTTTGCTGCCAACAACGTGCAGATAGAGTCAACCAGTTTCTATTTTTAAATAGACCGCAAAAGTTTCTAGTGGAATAATTCTCGGGGTTAGTCAGGCAACCAGTAAACAATGAGTAGTTTCTGAAACACTAATATCAGTTTGGGTTGTCGGGAAAAAAAAAAAGCTTCTGAATCAGCTTTAGTAATTTTGCACTTTTATTTATGTATGTTTTGGTTTCCTTCTTATCTCCATTTACCAAATCTCTTGAGACACCTTCTTCCAGTCAGATGATCGTATAATAATCTATACAGATTACAAATTGCTTCTTATATTGTAGAAAATGTTGAATTCTTTTACTCTTCTTTTTTTTTTCTCCTTTCGCTTCTCTCTCTCCATCTTATACTTTTCTCTTTTTGCAAAATATGTTCTGATTTAAAAAAAAAATTATTTCAGAAACAGTTTAATTGCTCATAAAAACAACTTTTGCACCTTTTGACTGAAAATTTCTCATAGTAGCCTTAAATTTTAATCCTGAGTCTGTACCATAAACTACCATCACATTGCTGTCACCTACTTTAAAATCCCTTCACAACAAAAGCAACAACGAATATAACGAAAAAAAACCATAAAAGAGAGTCCAAAAATGCGCATTTTCTACTGCAATTTAGAGCTCAGTTGCAAATTTTGAAAGAAAATAAAAAATTAAAAGTACGCCTTCTTTTTGACAAAAAGTGAAAACAACAACAACCAAAATTGGTCTTTGATTTTACCCATAATTGCTGTTTTCTTCCATCATCCTAGATACAAATACAAGCAGAAAGAAGAAAAAGTAAGAAAAAAGTTAAGAAAAGACAAAAAATTAAAAAAAAAGTAGAAAGAAGACAAAAAACACAGCTAGCAATATCGCTAAACTTTTTCACACCTAATTCACCGTAAAGAAAGAGAAGGAAGAAACGAATACACACATAAATCCCTGCTCTGCTATAATAATTAATGTCAAGAGAAAACGTTAGCGGAATCTTTCTCTTTGAAAAGGTGGTAGCAAGCAGCTTTTTAAGTGCCCCACTTAAAATGCCGCTAAAGTACAAAGTTAAGCAATTGAGAATTGACTTTTTGATGACCAATATCAGCACAGTGTTTGAAACGACGACGATGAAGTTGATAATTATGATGATGATAGCGTCAGTGATGGATATCGATGATGTCGATGACGATAGGGTTAACGATGGTGATGATGGCAACAATGACGATGATAAGGATAGCGATATTGATAATGATGACGATAGATCCATCTATCAGATTCTTTAATAGCATACTGTTAACGCATTCTCACTTAATATTTTATCTAAAAAAAAGTTTTTTTTTCGGTCATCTTCATCTTTTTAATTGATTTATTTTTTTTGTTTCTAAAGACAATAAAGACAATAAAAAAATGATACTTTTTGAACCGTATCAGTTTCGTTACTGCCTTTTTTCCTCCTATAATTTTGGTTCTGGTTTCAGTTTTCAGTTGTAAAAAAATGACATTTTTGAGCACGTATAAACATACCGTCACAAATATAGCTGTATGCGTTTGTGTGTGTGTGTGTATATCAAATCTGAAGGAGGAGAAGTGTTGGGGTGGGAGGGGAGATAGTAAAAATCGTTGTGACAGGGCAACGACAACAGATTTCAGATTTCAAATATACATCAGCGTAAACCGTCTGTCTGTATCCATTTTAATTTTACAAAGGAAGAAAAAAAAATGTAAGACCTTATAAAATAAATACAGTCTTGTCTTATTTGAAATTTTCTTTTTCATTTAGCAGTTCTTTTTCTTTCTAAGAGCTAAAATAGGCGAATAAATAAATAGA